TGGTGGTGCAACAACCCTGTCTCACAATTCAAGCTCCATCCTAAGGACACTGAAAATTTGCTTTAATTCTGGAAGATTCTACCTAATTCTCCTGCTATTCTCCCATCTCTTCACTTTAGTCAGGAATAATAACTCTTAAAAAAACCCCAAACAAACCACAAGCTCATACAAGAAACAGCCCACCACAAAACTAACCAAAAAAACCCTACCATCCTTTATTTCGTTATACTTTCTGTATTAGAAAGTCTTTTGCCAGCATCCCTATACAAACAATTTAAAATAATGAACAGTGCTCGTGCATGCTTCCTTTGGAGAATGCCAACTAATACTTCAACTGATTCTTCTTATCACGTAACAGAAAATTTTAATCTTGGAGGTTTTTTAAAGACAAAACTATCATTTTCATTACTAAAAAACCTGGTACCAGCAAGATTGTTGCATTTCTCCATTTTAGGAGAGTGAGAAAAAAGCAGGCAATTTAACAGGTTCAGATTTTTTTTCCTGCATTACATAAAAGAATTACAGAATAATAAGGTCCCAGTACTTACTTAGCCATGAGTTTTGCTATTCGATGACAGTCATTCTTGTCATAAAACCAAATACTGTAAATTGACACTAGAAAATAAGAAAAAAAGTGTAAGGCAAAGAAATCAAATGCACAGGAAAAAAGTAAAAAACCAAAGTGAATTAGATCTGCAACGTGAATTACCATCAATTTCCACTCAAATATTGTGTGTGACCAAGGACTATAAAATAATCAGAAATAGCACCTGTGCAAACACAAATATCTTTAGTTAGATAAAAAGCAAGAACTACAAAATGCTGATACTGGTTGTAAATAAAAGTGGCAAGAAAATGAAGTTTGAACCAGCAGATGCCGTCTGCAGTTGCAGCCTCCTGTTCTGAATTGCTGACTTTACCATTTAAACTAGGCCAAAGAATATCCATTTTTTAAAAAAAATAATTTTAAAGTTCGTCAATTTCTGAAAATCAACAAAAATATTAGTTTGAATTACAGAATGACAGTTCACTCAGGGGCTCTCTGGAAGGTTCCCCATCCAGAAGGAAGCAGTACCAAAGCTCCAATCACAGCGTCACAGTCACGGAGCAGCTTCAAAATAGACTCATAGTGACCCCTACTCTTTGAAGGTATCAAGGACAAAGCAATGAGGGCAAAGGGGTTCCAGCTCAGCAAGACACTCAGCCCCATTCTGGCTTTCAGAAGTAAAATTCCTCTGCAAGTTGGCAGAGTTGGAGCCCAACTGCTGAGCTAAAGATACTCCATCAGAGGGAGAAACTTTGTCAGTAGTGCCATGTGCTGCTCCTTCCCCAGGAATCCCACTTCCAAGGGCCTCTCACCCACACACGAGCTCATCTCCTCATTGTCCCACAGATGTGTCAACACCACAAAGCTGCAGAACTTTTTTCAGAATTGTATTGAATCCAACCCACAAAACAGATTATTTTAAATCTTAACTCACCTACAAAGTTTGTCAATGCACAGTGTGCAAGTACATTAAAGGCAATTAGACACTTTATATATGTTACCATTAAAGTACTTTAATCTCTGGAAAAATGCTTTTAGCCTTGTAAAACTCACGTTTATACTGCAGTTCATGCTGATGTTATTATGAAGTTGAAATCACTGATTATAAAAATATAACTTAAAGTGAAGGAAAGGAATGTTTAAAAAAAATACGCAACTTTTTCCAGCCAGATGTAGATTTTTATTTCAAAGCAAAATCCTTTTCTTTCTTCACTCACTTTTTTTTCCCCTTCTCAAAATACTCAAAAGTCTCAAGCCAGTCCACTCAAAATTATGTCAAGCCATGGCAAAGAGGGCAATTATTTGCCAAATGTTTTCTCTAGACATTCCAGTTATCCCAGGCTTACATCCTCAAAAACTCACGTACACACCTCATTGCTAGAACAATATCATAAGACAAATTGAAATTGTTCTTTTTCTTTTACTCAATAACAACTGTATTCATTTGGGTGTTTGTTTCTTTAGAGGTTCCAGCTCAAGACAACAAAGCTTTTCAAGTCATAAACAAAGAAATCAATGCACAAAAGACATAAGCCAATACAAAAGCATTTCATACATGCTTATGCTTATAAGCCATACAAGCCAATGCTTATGAAATGCTTGTATTAAAATTTACAGTTTAATACAACTGGATTGTCTGCTGCAGAGAAACCTATAAAAATTTCCAGTTTGAGCTACTTCTTTAGTCATGTAACATATTTTAGCACTGAAGAAAAGCTCTTTCCCTTCCCTGACTTCATTATCAGACCAACTGCCAAGAGGAGAAAGCTGCTTCAAAAGCATACTTGCTGAAGAGAGGAAGATAATGATATCTTAATGGGACAAATGATACAGTCACACTCAATTCTGCCAGAAACAGGCCTACACAAGATCAGAAGTAGATCCAAATCTCCACTTGGTACTACTGGCAAGCAATTGTAGGGAGCCACTGCAGAACATTAACAATACTGCAAAGATGTAAAGCAGGTTATGAACAAGTAAACTCAGGCATTAACATATGTCCAACCAGCTGGAATGTTTACCTTCCTCTTTCCAAAAGAGAACTTGTGTACTACCACTTCAGCTCCCTTGCCCCTGGAGTGTGTGTGTGTCCCAACTGCATTAGTACATTTGATGTATTTCTTACATGCAGTTCCAGCTATGAACAGCCTTATATCAGAGTTGGTTCTTACCAGTTCTTTTTAAATACGTGATTTTTTTGCTACACCCAGCATAAACATTAGCTGAACATTCACATGTCTAATGGCACCTTTCTCCTTGCAGTTCTTTCAAGAGTTTCACCCAACAGAAGCCACTGAATTAAGTGACTCATTTTTCCATCTAGTTAAACACTTTACATCCAACTTTTCTACAGTGAATGCTGGGCAGCATCTTTAAAAATCAAGTAACAGCAGTTTGTAATCATCATCAGCAATATCTTTCAGTAGGATTCACATTACACTTTGACACATCTGAAGTAATGAGTAACCCATACCACAGACAAATCAGGTTTCATAAAACTAAAACAAGTCATCTGTTATCTTTATCTTTGTTCTTCTCTGACATATGTAATTTTTATTAGAAACACTGACCCACAAATATTTCTCTAAACACATAACAAAACTCCTCTCCAAACTTGATTGAAATTAAAACTTCATTGATTAAAACTTGATTGAAATTGCAATGGAAAACCAGAGAGATATTGAGAGAACAGAAGCATTGTGGAAGTCTTCTTGCTCAACCCTAACAGCTGGATGGTACTAAAAGGAAGGCCTTGGACTCTTCTCCATTGTGCTCCCACTGCTCCATGGGACAGTCAGGTCACTGTGCCACTGCTCTGAGATCTGAACTAAGAGTGGGAAGAGTCAAGTGCCACTGCAACGCAGAAGCCTCACTCTTTGGCAACATGAAATGAAGCTGCGTCCCAGAGCTGTAGTTTCACTTCAGTTCTCAGTTTAAGTAAGCAGAGAGGCAGTGTCACCGCCCTCACATTGCCACAGCTTTGCCATTAACTTGTTCGACCCCAATTCGCCCCTCTCCCTGATGCCAGCTCGATACATTTTAATCCAGACCAGCTCCTTGATGCTGTTTGTGCATCAGCTTCACAAATGGGCCGTCTGAGCACAAGAGGGAGGACAAAGAATAGGGGTACACAGTAAGGCAAAACTGTTCAAATGGAACTGTGCCCAGGGGAAGTGCACATGGACTCATCAGCACTGCCAGTTTTGGAGATTCTGGACACTATCACTCTCTTCCCTTTGTTTAACCATTTGTGCAGATACAGCTTCAACATTCAAAGAGATGATTTGTTTAAAAGTTCAGCTGGAAGAGATGACAGAAGAGAGAGAAAAGTTTTATTTTTACAGTTCCAATTTAGGTGTTGCCATACAATGCAGCAGAACAAGTGGAAGTGGAGGACAATAACCTTTCAAACACTGGAACGAAAGGACTCCTATTTTGAAACCCCATCTCACTCCCATAAAGAAATTCACGTATGTGCATCACTTTACACTTCAAACACAGTTTAAGGCAAAAATCACATAAAGCCATCTCTCTTAAAGCTTGTATTTCTTCTAGTTAGCTGAAGTACCACCTCTCCTCAGTCAGCTCTAGTACCTTCTCTGACATTCCTCATTTTTATTTCCTCAGTGTATGTATTACCTTGCCACATAGATTTATAAATCATTAGAATGAATAAAAAAAAGTTCCTTCCTTTCTTATTGTTTTGAGTATCTTAGGCCATTTCACTAACACAGCTCACAGCACAATGCCACAAGCATTAGCACTGGAGCAATTCCTCAGGTGGCAAACAGCATCTGAGATCAGGAACACTTTAACCAACTGCCATCTGACAGGATTGTATGGAATGAGAAGGATTACTGCTCTGCAACACTGAACCGTGGCAGAAAGCCCCTCTACTTTGAGTGCCATCTTTCAGGTCAAACTACCTATTTTTAGAAGTTCTTAACAGTTTTCAATCGTTCCTCCCCTCCTCCAGCTTGTGTTGCTTCTTCTGCTCGAGATATGAAGAACAGGCTCCTTTCTTATCTCAGCCTAAAGCACTGGGTTAATGTGCTTGCTGGAGAGCCCGTCAGCCTCAGCAATCACAGAGATGTGTTACACTTTAAGTGCTGCCAGCTGGGAACACAGGTGATAAGGAGAGACTTTCCTTCCCGCTTCTGAAACCAGTTAGGAGCTTTTTCAAAGATTTTTAGTACAACTCATTTTACTTTTGCTGTTCTGAATACAAGTTGTTTTCATCAATAATACAAGCCCAGAAGACAGCACTTTGTAACTGAGTTTTCCACTTTAACGTATAAAACTCTCCAAAATCCACCATTTTTGTATTACTAACTCTTATCTTGGATAGGAATAAGAAGAAAGAAACCCCACCCCCCCCAAACAAAACCCCCACACCAGACAAGGACCATTTATTTTAATACCCAGGTTTTATGCTGAGCATCTGTCTTTTCAGCACCATGGAAATCAACCTGCCTGACCTCCCAAGTGAACTGACTTGGATTAGAAACTCTTTTAATCAAGACCATCGATACAGAGGGAAAGTTATAAATGAGAAAGGCTCAGAAGAATTGTTCCTGCAGACTTTAACAGGTAAGTTGGCCATTCCTTAAAACTTTGCCTAATTTTCCCCTATGATTAAGCAAACTATCAACTGTCAGCTCCAAATTCTCACATTACAGATTGAGTGAAAGTACTGAACTTTCAGACTGGACTGTTAGTACTGGCAGAACTGTATGCATTTTTTGAAACAGAGTTTAACATACTTTTCACAGAACACAGACAAGAGAAAACAAGCTTAGGTTCATTTAAAAAAAATAGGTCGATGGGATTCAGTGCTTCATGAACAAATACGCTGAATACTCTAAAGAATGTGCAGGTGTCCAGCGGGAAAGTTCAACAAGGATCAAATATACCCAGCAGACTAAGAAATAATAAATGGCATATTAAGTATAATCTAAAAGTTTTTACCTTTTAAGAGGAATTCCAAATTTAAAATATGTTACAGTAAGTCAAACAACCTCCTTTAAATTTGTTAATTGCTTGCTTTGTTCACCTTTGGAGATATTTATTTTCATTAATTCTTTATAACAATGAAAAGCAGAATACTTTTTTTTCTATTTACTACTGTAAGTGGTATATTGTCTCACAGCTTGTTAGTCACACCCTCTGTCATTTTTGCTATAGCATCTGATGCCTCACAAGGAAGTGGTGTAAGCTTTGGGGCAGTGTTATAGTGAACTTTTAGGGTCCAGTGTTTTTTTGGGGCTGGAACCACATTGTGTAGAAAGAATAATTTTGACAACAAAATTTCTGGAGTTGGGAAAGATTTCCCCATTAACAGCTAAAATATGAGAAGGGTATGATTGGGGGGGGGAAACCTCACAGTGTAATGAATAACAAAGTGACAGAATCTTCCCCAAATATGCGGTGACATAATTTTGCTTTGATCATCTACTATTTGTACCATGCCCTGATGAAGTGTAAATCTCTGTCACTGATCCTGTTACAAACGAACTATACAGGTGCAAAACATGTTTCTCTGCCCAACAGCAGTATTAATAAACATGATTTTAGGTTTTTACCAAGTAGTTTGAACCATCCCCCATCCGTAAGCTAAGGAAACGGAATCAGCAGTTCAATCACTCAGCAATCTTAACAGGACAACTTACCCTTAAGAGTTTGTAATGATCCCAGTACATTTCTTCAAGGATACAAAAAACTCCACTCTACAAGAAACAGGGCTGTTGCCAACACTGTGTAAGAGGCAGCTTTTCCTTACACAAGCCAGCAGTCCATCCTCTTTCAGTCATTAAGGGATCTCAGCAGAACTTCACTTAGAGACACAGCACATTAAGCCCTCAGAGATACACATTACATTAACCACTAGCTTAAAGCTCTGATTTGAATTAGTCCCAAAAATGCAAAGTTTTTCATGCCAGCAGGCAACTGAGCAGAAATGGACATCCTTCCACATGAAAAGAACCTGGATAAGAATCCCCTGATCTGCCCATACAAATAAAACGTATACATGTTGGAATTTGTCTGCAAATTCAAACCAAGCCTGAAGGGGGTTTTAGTCTGGTCTTGTTTTTTAAAGTTTCACAAATGCTATGCTGATAGAGGCAAACAGCTTTAATACATTTCCATCGTATAAGTTGTTTTTTTTTCTAGCTAATTCAGGGGATAGAGGCCAGAAAATTTGGAAAGTCTCATGTAAGAAAGAAAACCCAAAACACAACAACTAAATGCACAATGTAGGGAGTTAGTGGTGTTGAAATCATAAATGATAAAAACTTCAGATGCCATTTTCAATGCTTTTCAGCTTGTGTTTGAACAAAGTGAACACAAGCAGAGGACACAAAAACTCATCTGTTTATTTGTGGCACTCGGGAAAATACCCAATGACATACTAACTACATTGAACATTTGCAATCTGCAGTTGGTGGAGACAGGAGGAAGTGATGAAAGAAAGGATAGTTTCTGACTAGAGTCTTTTAACATGACAGTGGGAAAGAAATAAGAGGAAAAAAATACTCTTGGTTATCTCAGAATGCAATTATGTCCCACAACCAGTCTATAATTTTTCCTTGCTCACCTTTGCATAATTTCCTTCCTTCCTCATACTCTTCTATGTCATCTCTATCCTAAGTCCCATGAGCCTCCCACATATCTTACAAACCCATGTCCCAAAGGAAAAGGAGAGCTTTTATCAAAGGAAAACAAGCAGCTTTGGGGTTTCTAATGAACTCACACACGGCCTATACCTTCTCTGATTACAACGACCTGAAAGGAGGTTGTAGCAAGACAGGGGTTGGTCTCTTCTCCCAAGAAGCAAACAGTAGGACAAGAGAAAATGACCTCAAGCTGTGCCAGAGAGATTTAAATTGGATATAAAGAAAAATTTCTTCATGGAAGGGGTTGTCAAGCACTGGAACAGGCTGCCCAGGGAAGCAGCGGAGCAGCCATCCCTGGAGGGATTTAAAAGCTGTGCAGCTGTGGTGCTTAGGGATGTGGGGTAGTGGTGGACCTGGCATTGCTGGGATAACAGTTGGGCTTGATCTTAAAGGTCTTTTCCAACCTAAACAATTCAATGATTCCTTCCTTAAAGTGATCCTCTATTCACTCCCACTGGTGTACACCTGGTAATTCCACAGCAGCTCCTGATACCATCAGCAGCTTCAACAAACAAACGAATCAACTCCTTGCTTCCCATGTAACCAATTTCACAGCTGCAATTCTGAAATGACACCTTTGCACCATGAAAACCCTCTGCTCTATGGGGTGACTTCTATTTATCTATTTAACCTCATGTAAAGTTCATTTACCCACATAGTCCCTCCTCCTCTTTGTAAGGGCTGCATAATTTACACTTTGAGCTCTTTGGAGCACCAGCACTTTCAGTGTGTACCCAACTGGAACGTAGTACACTGGGACTGAGGCTCAACTGATGACACAAAACACTGCTAGAATTCAAAATGCAGCAAGAAGATCCCAGGTACTATTTCACCACTCATCTGTACCCAAACTTGCTGGAGTCTAAACTGCAGGAAATTTAGAACAGACAACTATCTGCTGAGTCCAAAGCCTATTGTGGAGAAAGAAACCTTCAACCTAGAGCTGAGCAATTTTCTCCACTTCTTTTAGAAGCTAATGATTAATATTTTTTTTTTTTTGCTTGCAAGACGAAGTTCTTAGATCTGTCCTTGCTGTTAAATACTTTCAAAATCTATCAATCTTCATTATTCTTTCTTAGTTTTTATTAATCCTATAGCACTGTGTATATGTTTAGATTACACCTATCAGATCATTACTTTAAAAGAATATAGCAATATTGCACTTTGACAGTATATTCTCTTTTTATTGAAAGCAGGTGATGATCATAATATACTAGTACAGCTATTTAAGTAAATTTAGCCCTGCAGACAGAAAACATCACCAGACATTTCACTGGAACCTGCCCCATTACATTATACTTGAAACAGATATCACAGTAATCAGAAGTGATCAAGGTTATAAAACAGAACCTCAAGTTTATATGGTTTAGAGAAAGTTATACTCACAGCTGGCATTTCTGTAGAGAAGAAAAGGTTCATGGAGCTGAAACTCCAAGTCTTTATTTACTGGCTCAACCAGGTTGTGCATGTTCAGTCGATTCACTATCGTAAAACCATGATAAGGAGAAGCTGACCTTGTTTCAATGAAAACAAAACCAAGGATTAATATCTTCATTGACATCAATAATTTTCTGAAACTGAGTTATGAATTAATCTTCAAATCTCCATTGCTTTATTAGGTGGAGCTTTAGCAGTCCTGAAGCTCTCAGTTTTTCTTCTATGCCATTTCTTGGCTGCCACCTAATTTCAATTTCAAACTACACTTTCCTCAAAGCAGGATTAGGATTAGCATTACAGTTCTACACTGTTAAACTGCTGAATCAAAGATATGCCTCTAAAAAAACCCTATTCAAAAAAACTAGGGCAGGTCCAGCATTAAAATTCAAGTGTATTCAATACCTTACATGAGACAGTTTTGAGGCATTTTAGAATTCTTTTATTAAAGGAGAAAAACCCAAACCACTTACACAGCATCATTTCCCTTACTGTAAATAGACATGACAATAAAAAAGGGCTGCTCTCTTAAATAGCATGAAATGCACTTCTGGGGGAACCATAAGCAGTAATTTCTTCCTAAAGTGAAACTCTGAAAATAAGGAGTTACCCCGGTGTCCTCAAAGTACATATTAAATTATTCAGAATTATACTGCTTAGTGAAACTATTTTTATTATCTAGATATTTGCTGGACACCAGGTTCAAAAACACCGAGCAAGCACTGGAAGTTCAAGATAGTTTTAGATGTGTTTTCTCTTGCTGCATAAATGTCATGTCAGCACTCAGCTGTGCCTGTAAGCAGTCACATAATCAACAACAGCATGATGAAGGCAGGGTAAAAAACAGACACAATTAGCTAGTAAATATTAAGATTTCTGTAAAAATGTGGCCACCTTTACCTAATAATAGACAACAAAAACCCATCAAGAGCTTCCAAGGAAAGGGTAAACAATCCTTACCACCACAGGTCAGTCTTTTAATGCACCTGACAGAACCTGTTTGAAATCATCAGCTAGTTACACAGAAACCCTTTGCTTTGCCTTTTGGGTTTGTTTGTTTTTTAAATTTGGTTCACTTTCTTACACTAAGTATTTCGAAGCTGGGAGCTGAAGTAACAGGAACTGGCTACTCAAATCCCTTCACAGTGCTAGGACAAAATATTGTAATGACTGAGCTATGACAGTCTGCTTCAGGGTGGCTTTAGCCAGCATTATTTCTATTTCATACATTCAACAAAGTTTTATTTCATTTAGATTTTTTATTTGCATGTTATTTAAAACTTAAATTCATGATTGGTTTTATGTGCTCTCACCCCTTTCCCCCGTCTCAGAGAACTGGAAATTTCTTTCATGGTTTTCATAAGGAAATCAAATAGTCCCTAAAACCAGACACCAGCGCAGCTCCAGCTTTTGGGCAACTTCATCCATTTACAAAAATTTTTGCCATTTTCCAGAAGTAGGTTAGAACAGATTATTTAATTTGTCATGTCTATTGTTTTCATAATCAACTTCATGGATTTTAGGAGACAAACAACTTGGTATTTAACAAACTGTAACAAATTACACTGGAATAACAAAATAACCTCAACAAACTGGGGTTTTATGTGGGTTCATTAAGTTTTATGATTTCTCAGCAGTACTTTTAGGGGCTTTTGACAGAGTTATTTACCCATGTGCAGAGTTTATTCTTTTTTAAAACGTATACAGCTGTTAACAGCTGGACAAATAAGGAACTGTGAGTATGAAAGCTCTACATGGAGATATCTGAAGTTTGTTTTCTTAAGGCAGGAAAACAAACATCATCACCCCTATATCCCCCCCCTAAGAAACTCCAAACCAACAAATCAACCCTTACCTTCTGTACACAAATAAGGTCCCTTCTATGTCAGTTTTCTCCTACAAAAGACAGCAAATGCATTTCAAGGATGTGCTTGTTCACACAGTTATGTAGTTATGTTTTAGAATGTTTTAATTACAGAGACTTACAATAGCCTTAACTTTCCATAAGGTTTGACATCACAGGGCTAAAAACGATCTCCTATTTTCAGAAACTACCTATTTTTTCTTACAAAGATTAGGGCATTAATCTCACTTCCAAAAGCTTTCTCATGCTAACAACCTGATGATGTGATCTACAGTATTCCACAACCTTCCAAAGCTGATCCTGTAAGGGCAGCCTTTAAATATCGGACAGGTTGTTTTCCACAGCGTTACTGAAAGAACAGCAATGACAGCACAGCCAGAAACACCACAACAGAACTACGGGCCACGGCTGTTTCATACTCCACTTTCCAGAGCAACCTGTACCACGGGCTTGTGACCCACAAGCACAGAAAGTTCGTGCAGTTCCAGGCCTGAAGTTCCTCGAATTTCCACTTCTGTAGTTGTGTGACAAAACCGGCGCTCAGGCCAAAACTTGTGTTTTAATGCAGTGACGGACACTAACACCTCTCAAATCCCACTCTTCCCGAATCAGGGCGCTGCGCAACAGGCGAGAGCAACAACAACAACAAAGTACAATGAGAAAAGAGAAAAAGCCAACGGGCACCAGGAACCAAAGCGCCTCCGGCCCCAGCGCTGCCCCGTCACTGCGAACCCCCGAACGCACACACGGCCTCGCCTCTCCCTCCCTCTTCTTCTCCTCCTCTCCCTCTTCCTCTCCCTCTTCCTCTTCTCTTCCTCTCTCTCTTCCCCTCCTCTCCCTCTTCTGTCCTCCTTCTTCCTCTCCCTTCTCCTCCTCCCTCTTCCTCTCTCTCCCCCCTTCTTTTTCCTCTCCCCTCCCTCTCCCTCTCCTTTCCCCTCTCCCCCAGCACAAACACCCTTTGGGTTCGTCACCTCCGCGTGGTGAACGCGCCCAAACCCCCAAAGTTCCCCCGGGGCGAGCGCAGCCCCGCGCGGGCCCCGTGCGGAGGCGCCGGGCCGGGCGGCTGCCGGGGCTCGGGCACGGCCGGGCGCGCCCCGCCGGACTCACCCACTCGTTGTCCTTGGGGCTGAAGCTGTAGAGCGCGACCTGCCCGGTCACGTCGGCGATGCCGGTGATGAAGGGGTCGTGCTGCCGCAGGGCCGCCAGACTCATCTCCTGTCCCGCTCTGCCCGCCGCCTCCATCTTGGATCCGGGCAGCCCCGCCCACGCAACGGCAACAACCGCCACGGTGCCACAGCGTTCCGGCCCCCCCGCCCGCCGGAACAACCGGCCCGCGCCTGCCGTTCCGCCCGCCGGGCGGGCCCTACACGCCCAGAGCCCTTCGGCCCCGGGACTGCAGCCCTTCCGGGGCCCCTCTCCCACCTCCGGACCCGCAGCCGCTTCCCCGGGGCTCCTCTTCACATCCGCAGCCCTTCCCCGGGGCCGCTCTACCCACCTCTGGGCCCGTGCGGTTTGGGCACGGGGCCGTGCCCCCTCCGACCCCCGTGGGCAGGGCCGAGGGCTGGGTTCGCATCGTTGTTGTTATTTATTTACTCGCGTTAGTAATACAGAGGTTTCTGAGTTTACTGCAGGCTGGCCTATGAATGTGATGAGCTGGGTCATCTGCATAATTCACTGGAATTCTCTTCCAGCACTGTGGGGGTGATCCTGTGTGTTCCTGTGTTTGTCGTCATCTGGTATATGAATGTTTCACAGTCTGCAGTGGGATAGGGAGTTTTCAGTATTTTAGAAGAATTTTAGGATTGATTATTTTTCTCAGGTACAGTAAACGTACATAGGTGTGTTTCTCAGGTATAGTAAAGGTACACGGGACAGTAAACTGTTCTATGTAAAGGTACAGACCTACGTAGTGTGTACTTATATTTGCTGGAACAAGAATAAAGGAATGTGTAGTGCACTGAGATTTTTCCTGCAATTTTTTTCAGTCATTAGTGGATTTTAGGAACAAGAAAGTATAGAATATTCATCACAACCAAGGTATGAATTACTTCTAAGATAAGATCCCTAAAATTCAACTGTCTTTGTAGGATTTTGTTCAATTTGACAGAAAACAACCAGGATTGTAAATGTCTAAAAAAAGTTTGTTGCAAGCTTCTGACCCTTCTAAGAATGTAAAAAATTTCTGACGATTTCTCACAGGTCATGTTGTTCTCCATTGCAGGTGGACAAATTTTGGATTTTAATTCAGCTTTACAGTATAATCCTCTCCCAGAATGGCAGACATTTAATGCAAAAGCTATAAGTGAGGGTCCAGCATTGTATGGTTCTGTCTTTCTGAGAAGTGGAAATGTCAAGTTCCAGTATAATATCATGATTTAAATTATAAAAGTAAAGTCTCTTGGGCAGAACATTATTTTACCTGTTTTTGATGTCAAAAAGTTCTAGTATAAAGTAAAGAGACATTTCTTAGAAAAAAATGTAATTTGGACACAAAACTTGTCTGTCCTTCATCCTGGACCTGAGCATCAGTAAGAAACCCCAATAAAAGTCACACAGAATATCTTAGAGCTCCGTAACTCTTCCATCTCCTTCTAATGGTTTTACCACAGGAGGGCCCAATCTAATTCATAAAATTTGGGTTTTCACTGGTTCTGTTAGTGGTATTTGTCCACCAAGGGCCAACAGTGACATGATGTCAAAAACTACTTTGATGTAAAGTGTCCTGTTATTATTGACTAACAGTCTTTGTTAGAAAAAGACAATATGAGAAAATTAAAGTTTGAAAACTATTTTATAAAGAAACAGCATTCTAAGAGCTCAACTGAAACAGAAAGAAAATGACAAAAACTTTTTCAAAGAGCTGGTTTTAAACAGCATCTTAAACATCTGTGCCAAGTTGGTCCTTTCTGCAAGGTTATTTTAAGGCAAAGGTATCTTTCAAATTAAAAAGCTTATTGGCAAAGTGTGTGAAATCTCTTCAGGTGTGAGAAGTCCTTGACTTAAACTGAAACACAGGGAGCAGCAATGAAGAAAGGGTAGTGCTGGGTTTTGGTTATGGTTTTCCTCTTCGTCTGCTAATTCCAGTTCTGCATTTCACTGAATTTATCCTCCCTGCCCATCCCACTGTTGTTGCATTGGAATCAAATATTTTGTATCAGAAGTGATCCGTGGCCTGTCATCTGCTTCCTCAGCCTTGAAGCACACCCAGGTATGTCGGATACTCAGAGCCAAGCCCTGACCTCGGTGTAAACTGCAATTACTTGTAGCTGCTCAGGCTTGTTCTGTGATTATTGTATGTTACAAATTTCCCTGGCCCTCCTCGGAGCTGTGCAGGAGTTACTGCTGAGGAAATGTTCCTCTGTCACTCCCTGTTGCTGATTCTTGCACGCAACCAGGCAGAGGTGGGATGATGCACATAATGCCCTTTTCATGTTTTCTCTGTGAGTGGGACAGATTCCATTTGTGTTTCAACAACTGATGAGAACATTGTGTTCTATATTTTGGTTATGCTGAAGACATTTTCAGTTTCTGCTGAGGTTTTATAGGACAGCATATGATGATTTGTTACCCTAAGTACTGTTATCTGCTTAATATATGTTAATATTAAGGTAGGTGAAGTAATAAAGACCTTTTATGCTTTCAGTTGCTTGTGACAGCGTGGCTGGGACTCTGTTGATGTTTGCTTCTGGCTGTTGACAGTTCTGTTAAACAAACTCTTTTTCTGGCCCCTGTTTTTACACAGTAGATTATTTACATATTCTCAAAACTTATTTGGGCTGCAGTCACTCCTTTAAATTTCCTACAGAAAAGTCTCCTTCAATTTGCAGTCCCGTTGTTTTTCCCTTGTTAGCTGAGTATCCTCAGCAAAGAATATATTGCTGCTGTTGGGATGAGGGAGAAGAACTCCCAGTCAGTCAATTTTCTGTTATTACTCCAGGCTGAATTAGGGTCCAGCGAGTCCTGCAAATCTGAGTGACTCATGGAACTCATAGTCTATCTTTGCAGTTTTCCACTTGAAGCAATTGTCAGAAATTCCTGGTTTTGTGAGCTGTTTTGCAAATGACACGTTTCTGTTGTTTTGCTTGCAGGTGTTTTTCTTTGAATTGTAAGTGGAGGCAATTCCTGGGCTATTGATTAGTAATTGGATTGTTATCTCTACCTTAAATTTCAGTGATGATGGCTGTAATTTTACAGACTTTTTATTTGGGCTTAGTAGTAGATAGTTATCACCAGGACAATTTGCCCTTTCTCAGTCAATGAACTTTTATTTTGCATTTTAGTTCTCTGAGTGGTTAAAAAAAAACAAGGGAGAGGGGATGCTAGAATTTTGTGAGGGCTGCCATTTTGTTTGAATAATCCTTTCATTTCACATGAGGCATTACTCGAGCATTTCTATTTGCTTATTATTGTTACAGCATTTACTTCAGTTGTATTCTTTGGTCTGCTGTGAAAGCACATTTGATCTTTGCCATTGCTGAGGCTGGTGGTTCCTGAAATTCGGTGTCCTTGCTATACCTCACTGTACAAATAGTTCTTCCTGTGGTGTTTTTCCAGGCTGATAAAGGACAACTGAGAACTGCTGCAGTTAGAGATTATGACCCACCTCTGTAAATGGGATTTGTAAAAATATCACCTTTTGAGGATTAACACAGAAAGGGTCTTGCATGCTACTCAAGAACAGTTTATACCAAATTTATGACATAAGGAAAAGTTACCTTCCCTGGCAGTTGTTTTGATCCTTAGGAGTGGCAAGTGGATCACAAGCCTTTCATTGGAGTTCCAGCTTGCCATGTGCTCCTTCTGCACTAATGCTGCAGCCACAGGAACCTTGCTGAATAATCATGGGTACAAATATTTATTTCTAGCTGTGAAAAATCATTTTCCAGCTCTGGAGAAAACTTTTCTAAATTGTAACACATTAAAGTGGTATAAATAGCTGTGAATACAGTCCAGAGGGATCCAGAGCAGTGTTAAGCTAAACAATTAAAATCCATGGGATAGGATGGTGTGGAAAGGGAATTCTGGTTTTGGAGGGCTATCACACTGACCTACCCGCTCTAGACATGGGATTTTTTCCTGTTTCCATGCTGTACATAAAATGTGCAGTATCTGAGTTTCGCAGGTGTTGCAATACTGAAATCTGAATTTAACCAGAAATTTCTTTGGTCTCATTTTGTCAGGAAATATTTGCAGTAATTATTCTGTAAAACAAAAGCATGACTTTCTTTTTTTTCTTTTTTTCTTTCTTTTTCTTTTCTTTCTTTTTTTTTCTTTTTTTCCCTCCTTATTGAACCGACAAAGTGTTCTAGAAAATATGAACCAGGAGGCATTAAAAACAACAGCATTTTCTGAAATAACATAATTTAAAAGAGTACAAGGGAAATGACATAAAAAAGCATTTAGCCATCTATGTGTTCACTGCCATTTTGGACATATTACCAACAGTTATGGTCCTTCTAAGAGATGCTAAAAAAAACATTGAAAGAAGCAAAGAGAAATCATTAAATTACAGTTACAATTAAAAAAAAAACAAGAGTCTGAAAATATTCAATTCGATTTATACAATAAAGCTGTTCCCACAACAACAGTGTAAGAGGGCGAAATAGGTCACAGGCAGCCCTCCTTACATTGCTCAATAACATTAGAAGGATTAATCATTTATGGATTATCTCCTAGAAACAATGATCTGGTGCAGACAGGTAATCCAATCTCCTCTATCTTTCTAACCTGGTTTGCCGTTTCACAGGAGGTTGTGGAAGGGTGGCAAGTTTTTCTAGGAAGACATTGCCTGCC